CAGCCTGGAAAGGGGCCTCGTCTGTGCCATGGAGTGAGCACATGGGCTCTTCGGAAAAAGTTGGTTTCTCTAACAGCCACCCTAAACGTGAGCCTCGTGGTATTTCGAATCTCTCGTGTAAAATACTTTGTTGCGTTTCAGCGTGGCATTTACCTTAAGAATTCAAGCAGACATTAGATGCCCTCGGTGGTGCTAATCTTTGTGCTAGCAACGTCTTCTGTGTACAAAGCAAAGAAGAGATCTTTACTTAGGTGTTATTTTTTCTCACCTGCCTCTACCCCTTCTTTAAACTTCTTTGGAGATTTGTACGCTGGGAGTCTGTTAGTGTGAAATCCCAAACACCTGAGGCTTTTGCTTGTGTCTCTCACTTCTAGAGGCAACGTGCATTACGGAGATGTCAGTAATGATGGCTTGCTGGAAACAGAATGATTTCAACGATGTGGCTTGTGCTGAGGAGATCCGGATATTCTACGACTGCGTGGCAAAGGCAGAAGTAACTAATGCCTCTCTTGTGTCCTTCATGGCTAGTATTAGGGAAGGAGGAAGTCCCCAATCATTTTTTGCCAACATTAATTCTGTGGACAGTTTGATTTGAGTTGTAGCCCACTTGAGCTGTAGGAGAGATGCAGTATGATGTAGATCAGACATTCAGACCTTCCTTTTTGGATGCAGAAGTTAAATTAAAATTAAATTAGAATTAAAGAACTGTAGGAAGGGACTGGATGTATGGTATGTTATAGCTATGGATGAAACAAGAGTTGCATCCAGTCCTTTTCGTTTTGTCAAATTACTGAAGTAGAGCTCAGCTGCTGTCAGTTGACCCTAACATAAGCCATTTCTTTTGATTTCTTCTAGTTGTTAATCTCTAAAGTAATGAAGTAATAACAGTCATTGTTCTTCTCCATACTGCATGATAGTTCTGAAAGAGAGAGAATACAGTTTGGTGCTGCTAAGTAGAACAGGGGTTTGTATGGTGCAAGATGTGGATTGTACTGTAACTGGGGAGATGTACAGTGTAGGTGAGTTTCCACAACTGCTCTAATACATAAAATCAAGAAGTAGCTGACTTGGGTACCAATCTAATACCTGCAGTATTTGGACAGGGAGAGTGGTAATTTAGGATTCCTGAATTCCAATCTCTCATAAATCTGTAAATAGTTCTGTGTTTGCAGGAGTAAGGGTGGAGGCAAGGTGGTAGAGATTACGAGTGGTAATCCTCATAACAAATAGAACTTTGAGGATACACGAGGTAGTGATGGCTGTTCTCAGTTCTCTGAAAATGAGGAGTTCATGATTACTGACCCAAATGCTATTGTAAGTGTTCTTAAAGAAATAGCATGCTTCTGAAAGAAACATTCCAGTACAATTAGTAGTCTTGGGGGTGAGTGTCAGCAATGCAAATAAACAGAGATAGTATTCTGAGGTTTCTTTTTTTCTTTCAGAAGGAGCGCAAGGATCGAAATGAGGACATCCTGTCACCCAGGGGAAACTTAACTTCAAGCAAAGTGAACAAGCTCCTGAGGAGGTTTCCTCAGGTCACACGTTATGTATGATATGCTTTACTAAGGGGACTGTGGATGAGCAATTAAAGTTGGAGTCTCTGACAAAAAAGTGAAAAATAGCCTTGAATGACCATTGATGTCAAGTGGTATCTGTCAGCCCTGCTGTGTGGATCGTGACTGCACCTTTGTTTCCACAGTGAGAAACACCCATTTTGACCATCAGCTGACTTTGTTCATGAGGTTCTTGTGTCTTGTGGTTTCGGGATTTTGACAGTGTGTTGTTCAGCTAGCCACAATGTGGAGTCAGGTCCTCACTGTGAAATGAAATCTTCTAGGAATGCATGTAAATGCCTTTTCTAACAGTTAGGGGGTGACTTTTCCTCATGTATAAACTTCTGAGCTGCTATCAAGAAGTGCTCAGGCCCAGCCATTGAGCCAACCGAAAACTGATAGTAATCTTATGACTCATACTCCTGCGTGTATGTATACACAATTTGGTTCCTCTTGAAATTTTTTTAATTCCTACTACTGTACAAAGAGGCTGTAGAATGAGGAAGAAATCTTCAGTAAAATACCTTGTTAATAATACACAATACATTGGTAAGGATCAAATACAAGTTTAGGGTAGAAGCTTGTTATTTAGGCCCTCAGATTCACAGGTGGGACAGGTGTGGTGCCCTGTCAGATCGATTATGTTTTCTACTGTAATAAAATAATGCAAAACTGTTGTTTGGCTTGGGCAACTCATATTCTACAATAAAATGTTCCATAGTTTTGGTACAAAAACTAAAAGGAAGAGAGAAAGTTCAAGCTTGGACTGATACTGAAATCATGTAATTAATTACTAGTTTTGATTTGGTGGAGTTTTTTTCCACTAGATTATGACACAACTGTTGTAGGACTAGTACCTAATTGGTGAGAAAAATGCAATGCCTCAGAGAACTGATGATGTAACCATTTAAATCACTCGTTCCTCGGGGCATTAAAAAAAAGCAGAGTTAAGAGAGGAGTCAGGACTATGTCATTGCCCACGTGTGACTATAGCGTTTGCAAGGAGCTGGAGCTGACTCCTTTGGAGTCCAAGGAGTACCTGTTCATCACATAAATATTGGTCAAGTGTAGCCTTTCAAGTTATTGAAGCAATTTTCAGTTAACTGTTACTAACAATGGTTCATCAGTGAGTTATTCCACAGGATAGCTTATTCTGTTGTTGTTACGGCATTTTTGGATCTTTCAGAGGACTTGGGGTCAGAAAGAACATGATGTCCGCATGTAAGTTTGGGAAGACACTTGGGTTTGATGACATTTTGCGTTTTCAGTCCAACAGACGCTCTTTGAAGAGGAAAGCTGCTTGCTGGTTCTTTGTTTTGAAGGAGACAAGCTAAGTTGGGAGTGAGGAACTGATGAATTATAAATTCAGTTCTGTTGGCAATGATTTTTCTTTCTTTTTGTTAAAACATAATTATAAGTATAGTTTTGTACTTCTTAAGCTAGCAGCTCTGCTAAATGTACCAAATTCTAGTGTCTCTGAAGAGCTGTCTCTTCATGTAAGAGACTGTAACAGGAACTAATACTTTTTTCTGTTTTACTTCCGAGTTTTCACACAGCTACCACTAGTTTGGACAGCTGGTTTTGGAGTTTACTGCTTCAAGTGAGCTTCACAAGTTCAGTTTCTTAGGTCTTTTTCTGAGTTTTTACAACTGTAAGCTTTGAATTTTTACAGCTGTAACCTTTGAATTACTATGCTAAGGTTTTCCAGTCCCTAAAGGAATGCTTTTAGTTGAAGGAAGAAGGAAGGAAAGAGAATGCTTTTCAGCTACACCCAGGTTTTACAATGCTTCTTCTCTAGCAGTGCTTTTGGCTCAGGATCCCATACTGTAACCAAAAAACCTTCAATTACTAATTGTCCTTAGCAATCTGAGCTGCTGCCATTTCCCTCTGTCTCACTGTTAAGCTTATATCGGGTGCTTAAACACATGCCGTGACATGCTCGTATTGGGGATCATTCCATTAATAGTTCACGTGCATAACTGCAGTAAATGACGCTGTCCTTTCCGAGTTCAGGGGTTGTACCACCCCATGATGCTATTGGTGGGAAATAAAAGAGTACTAACTAGGTTCTGTTGCTGAGCCCACTGGTTAAGAACATTTCTGCAGAGACCTGTATGTGATTGCGTGGTGGGGAAAGAATTAAACAAAAGCAGACTAGCTGTTCTGCCCTCCTAAGTCGGATTTACAGGATTTAAGCAAATCTGCTGGAATTCCTTGATCTTACTCCTGTTCTTTACACTTGAGTATTATACCAGCTCTGGGTGTGACTGCTATTAACTACCTCTCTTTTTAGGCTTTCACGGAAGACCTCTTATGGAGGAAGCAATTGATATTTCAACTGGTTCTGATGAACAATAGTGCTGTCAGTTCAGGAGAAATAGGTTGAATTCCAGAGAGCCAAGAACATTATAGAAGATGGTGCTTCTTGTCCAGAAGGGTTGATACAGGAAGGATTGATACAGAATATCTGTAAAAATCAAGACAGAAAGACTCCGTAAGGAATCAAAGACTTACTAATACACAACTGTGCTTATATCAGGGTGAGAATGTGATTTGCCTTAAATAGCGGGCTTCTAGGTATTTACAACTGCTTCAGGCTTGCCCACACAAGAACGTTCAAGACCTGTTCTACCTTATCTTTATATATGTTACCTGTTTAAACTGCCATAGTTATATTGGTATTATAATTTCCCGTTTAGTCTTCCTCTCCGCTTTGGAGAAGGCCATGTAGCCACAGAATCATAGCATGCTTTGTGTTGGAAGGGACCTTTAGGGGTCATTTAGTCCAAACTCCCTGCAGTGAGTGGGGACACCTTTAACTAGATCAAGTTGCTCAGAGCTCCATCCAGCCTGACCTTGAATGTCTCAGGGAGAAGCTTTTGAGAATCTGAGATCCCCCTCTCTCGGGGAAACATCATTACCTGTGCCAGAAAAGCATGGTGAGTCTTGGCAAGAGGGAAACAGTTCCAAAAGAGGACCTGTCGCACTGTGTCTTTGCACGGTTTGTCATTCCTTCAGAAACTGAATACTAAACTTGGACTTTGTTTGCTTTTGGTGCACTGGTCTGTGCTTTCTTTAAAATCACTTTATCTAGGAAATCACTTTATGTATGAAAGCTTTGCTTTAGGAGGGAAGCAACTTACAAGCTACTGTGAAAGAAATCCAGTCCAGGCTTTTGCTAGAGGTTTTTGATTCTGTTAGTAGGTGTAGAGGGCTACATAGGTGAGTGTCTTCTGGCAGTTCTGAAGGGACATCAGCAAGCAGTGTACCGCTGACTAAGAAGCAGATTTCTCTGAATGCTAGTAGATTTTCTGTTCCTGACTCCAGGATATCGTTTTCTCATACTGTCACTGGAGTAAGTGGTTCTAAATTCCAGCACGTTCCCATATTTTCGCTTTGGTTTGCTCCTTTTTGCCCGTGCTGCCTGAGAGTTAGTGTGCTGTAGCATCTAAGCTATTTCCATCCTGATGATCTGCCTCCCTCACTGCAAGGATATAGGAGATTTGCATCTTAATTAAGTGTAATTCTGAGCCAAATCCACTGTGTCCAGAGTGCACTGTGGTACAAATCCACTCCAGAAAGGGCTCCCTCCTACGACTCTCTGACTCCTGTGAAAGATCCAGCATGTAGCGGAATTTCCTTACATTTGGTGAGTGACTGAGGATGAAGCAACACAAAACTGTCATGTGAAGTGAGTAATGGGCAATAAGCAAGGGAATTAAAAAGAGTTTTTGTCAAGCCAATCGATTTTTATCAGACAATTCGTTGTTTTTATGCTGAAGGTGTCTTTGGAAATGCTGCTTAGCAGACTTGGCCAAAAATGATCTCATTTCTTAAGGTGGCCTTCATATTTCATGCTGTAGAACACCAGAAGTTAATCTCTCCAAAGTTAGAATATAAATCTAGGAAACACCCATTAGACTGAGTTGAGGAGCAATACAGGAAATGTGTAAAAAAAAAATAAAAAATTCCCAGATTGAACAGCTTCAAATGGACCAGTTCCCTTCTTGGATTTAATAATACTTAAAACTCTTGTTGTAGCTTCTAATTCACATGAAGGAGCAGTAAGCTGAAAACACTAACAAAGCCCATAGGGTTTTTCTTGGCAGTACAGTACTGATCAACTCTCTGGAAAGCATCCTAGCCAATCAAGGGAAAATATCTTTACAGCCCAAGGGCATTCCAAACACTCGATTTAAGGGATCTCTGGAGGCAGTGCCCGTGATGGTGAGGTGCAGGGCTGAAAATCGGGACTGCCCCCTTGAGAGGGCCAAGCCACCTGCGGATTTTCCACGGGGAGACCTGGTTGCTGCTTAACGTGAACTTTCCTGGGTCCCGTTTACCCGGGTTCAAGTGTGAGGAGAGTTTGACCTCGGGAAGCTGCAAGCAGCTAATCGAGGAGGCGGCGGTGGCGGGAGGATAAAGTCCAGGTTCCTTCCAACGAGTCTAATCTCTGGCGGGCGTGTGTGCGCGCACAAGCCCTTTCCTTTCCCGGTTTTGTCGCGGGAGGTTTTGCAGCAGGACAGAGCCCCCGCT